TACAAGTGAAGGTGAGTGCATACAATTTAAAGTGAGTGAATACAAGTGAAGTTGAGTGCATACAAGTGAAGGRGATTGAATACAAATGAAGGCGAGTGAATACAAGTGAAGGTGAGTGAATACAAGTGAAGGTGAGTGCGTACAAGTGAAGGTGAGTGCATACAAGTGAAGGCGAGTGAATAGAAGTGAACGCGAGTGAATAGAAGTGAAGGTGAGTGAATAAAAGTGAAGGTGGGAGCGTACAAGTGAAGGTGAGTGAATACAAGTGAAGGTGAGTGCATACAAGTGAAGGCGAGTGAATAGAAATGAACGCGAGTGAATAGAAGTGGAGGTGAGTGAATACAAGTGAAGGTGAGTGCATAAAAGTGAAGGTGAGTGAATACAAGTGAAAATGAGTGCTTACAAGTGAAGTTGAGTGCATACACGTGAAGGTGAGTGCGTACAAGTGAAGGTGACTGCATTAATGTGAATGTCAGTGAACACAAATGTATGGAAGTGTGAGTTGATCTTTTTGCCATACTAGGATATACCATATATAAACATTAAGTGCTCTATATGCATGTTAGCATGAAGTTCTTGCCAATACTTGTATATCTATACTGTCCCTTTGTTGCTGACTTGCCCCCAGTCCTCTTCATACAGGAGAAATACAGCGCAGGGAGAGATGGGTGCCGAGAAAGGGAGCGCAAGGTGAGATGGGTAGGGAGAAAACGAAGGAGGAAGACATCATCCCCTGCTCGTCCACCTCGCGCACTGCCGTGTGTTATATGAAGACGACTGGGGACGAGTCAGCCTTTGTTGTACGTAAGTTACTGGGGTTCATCTATAACAGCCAAATATTGGTATTTTCTTTCCTCTTTAGCCTACTTACAATAATAAAATTCACGGAAAATGCTGGGATGTGGATTTTCTTTTTTTGGGGACATATTCTCCTCCCTCCCTCTCCCCTCTCCCAACTCCCCTACCCTCCGGGACGGTTTCTCCCAGTGATCCTTTGCGAGTGTAGTTTTTGCACGTGGGCAAGAAATAGAAGAAAATAGAGGTTGCTGTACATATTTTTGAAGGTTTGTTCTTTATCTTACTGCTTGAAAAAGTGATATTAATTGATTTGAAATATAAACTAACTTGCTTCCCTTTGTTTGCAGGTCGAAACGGAATGAAGAGGCGCTTTGTTGACCTTTGAAGACAATTAACTCGGACAAAGGTAAGCTAATGCTAATTAAAGCTTAAACTTTTAAGTTTAAACTTTATCGTAAGCTTCGATAAAGCTTACGATGAGATTGCCGATGAGATTGCCTTCCAGTTTGATTGAAAAACTGTTAGTCTAGGTAAAAGATGACTATAATATTCCCTTGGTAAAATTAGCCCGACTTAATTCATCACTTGCGTATCTAGGAAATTCAAACGGGCAATATTTCTTGTTGGGAATTTAAGTGCTACTGAGACGAAATTTTCCTATCACGGATATTTTCTTGATAAGTTATGAAATTTAAACCTTACTTACAAACACTGTTTAATTTTGTCGGAGTCTTGTTTGTGGACGGTGCGTGAAAACCGCGTTTTTAAACTTTGAAGTCGGCTGTTTGATGGCCATCTAACTTGTCACGTCACCGGTTGTATTATTTCATGTTCAGTACTTTCATGTCGCAAATTAAGGCACATAATCTAGCCACATAGTGAAAATGGGATCCATACCAGTGAATATGGGTGCTTGATTCACGCCACTGAGATATCTAAATTCAAAGTAAATTCTTAAGAAGCAACCTTTAGAAAAATCATGCTGAGGCATTCCGGGAAAGTTTTGACATTGAACATTCTTCTTCACGATTACGGCGCGTATGGCCTCACTCAGACGTTTCAACGACACATTCAGGAAAGCCTCTTCAGTAATTCAAAGGTCTTAGTTTGAACGCTTTTTTGTAGATCAACAGGCGACTTGGTGCCTAGGACTAGACCATAAAGGTAAAGTCTACATACGAGCCGAGTGGCCCATCAGGCCGGAGCTTATCCCGGTTTCCGTAGCATGAAGCGACTAGGAGTATTTCGACCCCCCCTCCCCCTTGATGGGATACTAGTCCATCGCAGGGTTACCCCCAGCATTAAGTTCGCCGGTAGCCATTTATACACCCAGGTGGAGAGAGGCACTGTGAGAGTAACATGTCTTCCCAGGAACACAACGCCAAGTCCCCGGCCTGGGCTCGAACCCAGACAGCTCAGTCGACCCGGAGACGAGCGCACTAACCATGAGGCAACGGCGCCTCTCAGGACTAGACCATGCTATTTGTTATTTCTTGTCCTTGTGCGTTTTACGCAAAAGCATCAGACAACACAATGAGAAGGCATGACGTAACGGATGAGGAAGGGCATAAGAGAACCCAAGGCAAGAGGGACATAGAGGGAACGAACCTACAGAGCATGACGGCACGTCCACCGAGAAACACAACGAAAAGCCTGGGAACATCGCACGAAATGCACGAGGAAAAGCGNACATAGAGGGAACGAACCTACAGAGCATGACGGCACGTCCACCGAGAAACACAACGAAAAGCCCGGGAACATCGCACGAAATGCACGAGGAAAAGCGTTGATAACATGCGGTGTAATGAACGAGAAAACGCATAAGCAAGCCCACACCAACTGCACAAGGTACGTAGGAGGGAGCGAACCCACCCGGACACATCGACGAAAGCGCTGGTTTGTGACTTATAGCACAACACACAAGAGGGCGCATAGCGGAACGTATGGAAAGCATAGTGGAACACACGAGAAAACCTAAAGCGTTACAGACGATGAAAAGGCAAGAGGAACCCAGAGACTATTCACGGAAGAGTAATAGTGAACCCGTCAGAGGGTTATTGAAAAATTCAGCCGGGGATGGGGGGTCTGGGTAGAGGAACGCATAGTGGGACACACAGGTAGCGTTTTTGAGAACGAACGATATAATGGGTAAGCAAACGATTAGACAGCTAAGAAAACACACGGGGAGTGTAGAAACCCTCCGGCAATACACGAAGGAACGCATGGAATTTTGTAAAGGGAATGCACGGGAAACGCAAAGAAACGCAGGGCGATGAACGCACCAGAAATGAAAGAGGACACGCCAGGGAACGAAATACTTAGGGGAAGATTGAAGCGAATAAACGGGGAACCTAAGAGGGAACCTTACAGAAACGCATGGGCCGGGGAATGCACTTTGATGTGAAGAGGGAACATATGCTGAAACAGGTTTTTATTTAAAAAATACTTCGTTTTGTCAAATGGACAAAGTTGTAAATATCACCTTTCGGAAAGCTAATATCACAAAGACGTCCACATCCAGAAACCTATGGCTACACAAGCTACAAATACTTGAAATTAAAATTAAAATTTCCAATTACAAACAACTGAACTACATCTCGCACCGCCAACATCATCCCAGGGTCGTCGAGCAAGACCCTGGAATGATGCTGTGATGTGGAAATAATGAGAAGAGAATTACTCAAGAAAAATAATAAATTTCACTAATTTTCATACTATTTTTTCGATAAAATACAATTATTTTTCTTGGCCAAAACGTAATGGCAATTTTATTTATAAATTTAACTTCAATTTCATAACTCTGTTTTATATTTTTCT